CTGCCGAACGGAGTTGCCGGCGCAGCAAAGTGGAGCTGGCAACTCCGTTTGGCGGTAGGGCGGGCCTGCTTGTTTTACCTTGACTTACCTTCCCGAATGACGATCTCGGAACTGAAGCTGACGGAAGTTGAACCTTGGACCTCGACGCTGGGAGTCCGTTACGCTGACCACCAACCTACTGCGACACCTTAGCTCCCGTGGCGCAGTAGCTTGATGTCCTGCGAAAGGGCCCCGGCCCGTCGGTCTCTCCAGCCAAACTACAGTTGAACTGCAGTTTCAATATGGATCAGCTAAGTGCCCTAGTTTGCTTTCCCTTGTAAACTGTGGAAGGAATGTACACTGACAGAAGCAGTTTGCGACTACAGTTGCCAATGTGTGAAAAGTATCTAATAATGACACAGTCCACGTTTTCAGATTAGACATACATTGACGACCATTGATACACCATTAGTCAAAATGAAGTCTCAACTGGAGTCGCAGTGTGAGTGCAGTTCGACCACTGCAGTTTAGACTACACTTTAACTTATTGTGATCCTTCCGCCCGGGGGCAAAGAAACAAAAAACAGCCAAGCGTCAAATTCATGTAGGGTCGTTCCTAGTCGCCTGTGACAGTCTTGATACTCCTAGCCAGTTACTGTCATTTTGAAAATTGACAAATGAACAAATATTTAACAGCAGTATTATTTACAACCTTGCCTAGTAATACTGATTTCTTTCTTAGCTACTATTTACGAGTAGTTCTTCTTAACCAAAGAGCAGTGTAACTTTTTTTTAAAGAAGTCATTGCAACGTTGTTACCAGTTGCGTATGCAAAAGGTCAGGAAAGGGCTGGGAGCTTACCTATGTATACCGTACTATAATCCCACCTGACACCACCTCTCGCTATATTGCTCGCTCGCTCGTTTCGACATGTAGGTACCTGATGTAAAACTGCTGTCGCACTGACACCGGGTACCGCTGCACACAGCGGGTGCGTGTCGCATAATATGCGTCTCGGCACATTATTGACTGGGAGCTTGCGTGCCGCGCGCAGGGCTCATTACAGTTAGAGTGCGTTGCGTGGCGGAGCCGGCGGGCCCGGATCGACACAGCGAATGTTCTCTCGTGGTCATTCACGTCTCCTTCTGTGTCTTGTCAAGA